CGGGTTGCTCTTGATCAAAACATAACAAATAAGGAGATAAAGGATGTCGTTTATAGTATGATCAATAACCAAGTGTCAGGCATCGATGGAATCACCTCTTCCTTCCTGAAATTTTACTGTGATATTGTCAAACAATAAGTTATTTGTACTATTGTTGAATTCTTTGAATCTAATATTATGTCGGAGAATTGGAAGGATACTTTAGTTGTACTTATTCCAAAATCTAACAAAGCAAATGAATCTTCAAATTTATACGATCAGCCTTTGTCAATCAATCTATAAGGTGGTGGCTAAGGTTTGGTTTGATCGTTTGAAACCTATTTTATAAGATGTAATTAGTGAAGAACAAGGTGCCTTTGTTTCAGGGAGATCCATTTCCATCCATGGAATATTGGCCCAGGAGGTTATGCACAAGATTCAGCATTCAATCATGAATGTTGGTTTGATAGTGCTCAAAATTGATATGGAACAAGCCTATGAAAGCATGGCTTGTGACACCTCCAACACGTTATGAATATTCTGGGTTTTTCTAATAGGTTTATCGGGTGGATCCTCCAATATGTCTCCCGCCTCAGATTTTCTCTCTGTATTAATGATAACAGATCTTCATGGATTAATGCTAGAAGTGGCCTCCGGCAAGGGCGCCCTCCATCTCCATACCTTTTCATTTTATGCTCTAAATTGTTATCTAAAGCCTTTAAATAAAATGGAAATCACCTTGGAGTTCAAGTGGCATACAATGTCGATCGTGTTTCCCATCTTTTATATGTTGATGATATTTTAATTCTTTGCAGAAACCTCTACTGCTAAGGTTAATTGTATTAGTAAAATCTTAATGAACTATTATAGTCGGACGGGACAAAGATCAATAATGGCAAGTTTTGTTCAGCAAACATTGCCCCAATTGGAAGAAGTGGAAGATCTATAATGCATTAAGGTTTCATAAAGTCGCTGTGTTGGAGTACCTTCATCTGTCGAGGTTATGCGTAAGCTTACAGCTACTGATTTAACTAAACTACTCAAGACTGCTACCGAGAAGGTTCACATATGGGGAAAGAAGCATCTCTCTCTTGCTGTTCGTGCGACCCTCATCAAATCATCTCTTCTATCTCTCCCTATGTATTTAATGACCCACACATTGGTTCCTAAAGGTGTCTTTACTGTTGTTGAGAAGTTAGGAAGACATTTTCTTTGAAAAAAGGATATGAATAGCATGGGGCTTCATTATGTCGCCCGGGAGGAATTATGCCAACCATTGCAATAGGGTGGGCTTGGGTTTCACTCCAGCTCGTCCTGGTAGGGACCGTTGAGAGCCAGACTCACTTGTGATCTGCTTCAGAACCCGCCCTCCTTTCTGAGCATGATTTTAATTGTCAAATACGGGATGGATGTTTGGACTCAGTTAACAGGATATGGGGTGTATACTGCATGGAAAATTATCCTGGATAGTGTAAAAGCTCTGCGGCCAAGCATTCGATGGATGATTTGGAATGGACAGCAGATTGATACGTTGTATGATAGTTGGATTTTGGATAGCTAATTAGTTAATTGGCCTACCATTTTGAATGCTGATGAAATTGAGAACACCAAAGTGGTGGATTTCCTTGAAAATAACCTCTAGTGGGATATTGAAGCTCTTAAAAACTGCTTTCGTGATGATTAAGTGCTGAAAATTGTAACCATCCAAACTAATCAGGTGGACGGCGACAGTTTTGAGCTTATTCATTTCCGGCTCAGCATGACCATCACGATGATTCAGTGCAGAGAATTGTAACCATCCAAACTCCTCCTCCAGGTTGGGTTGAAATCAATTTTGATGTGGCCTTACAAGTTTCAAATCGTGTTAAACTTGGTACTATCTTTAGAAATCATGAAGGGCAACTTGTTCTTGTTGTTAGCAAACAAATAAAACACTAGAATATAACCCAGGCCAAAGTCCACACTGCTCTTGCAATCAAAGAAGTGATCCAAGAATGGATGTATTACAAGGAAGGAATTATTATAGAGGGTGATAGTGCAAATGCCATTAGATGGCTACAAAGATCCATGCACTAACATAACAAGATGCATTATAGCGCTGACTTCAACATTCCCTTTTTAAATGATTTCAAACTGATTTTGTCTCATTTTATTCCTAGGGAGAGTAACATTGTTGCTCAGCCCATTTTGCTGTTTTTGGGAATTTTATATGGGATGATGTTCTTGATAGGAGCCTTCCTCAACTTTTTTGTCTATGTTAAGGAAAGATAATGATAGAGAATACCATACATAGTTCTATGTTTTTGTATTTTCCATTATTTTGATTAATGCAAAGTGCAAATTTCATAAAAAAAGGAATGCAAGTCACATGCATATGAGAGATTCCATCTCATGACATTTACAATTGAATCTGCAACATACGCAAAGTAGATAAAATGTGAGCAATAATAAACTCAAAATGCAATCACATGCACATTTCAATGGCAATGCACTCATATTAATAGTTGTTATGTTAGGGTCTTATACATCTTAAATAATTCGTTCACCTGAATCATTTCCCCCCATCTATTTTAAATTCATCATAATAAAATTTCAACCATAAATAGAATTTGCTGGCACTACACATTAAGCATTTGGCGTTTGATGACTAACTTTAATCGAAAGTTCTCTCTTGTTGTTCGGAGGGGTAATTAACTATAAGGGATCGCACCTATAGAAAAAATCATATCATAAAGTACTCACAAAATGAAGTCAAAATATCTAAGTAGTGTCTTATCTGCAACCTAATTTACATTTTGAAATTTCACTCGAAATACTCAAAACTCTCCCCGGCATGCAAATTTTCAAAGCCAACATACATACATATTTTATCCACTAAATTAAGTAATCTTCTCATAGAATCAAGGTTTTAAAAGGCGAAATCGAGAATCGAGACGTTTTTACTAAGCAAGGCGAGGCGTAAGCCTCGAGGCGGATCGAGGCGTAAGCCTCAAAACGATTAAAATAAATTAATTTAAAATTATAAATAATAACAAAAAATAATAAAATATTATGTCAACTATGAATTTGAATATTTGTTTTAAGATAATATTACTGGTATACAAGATTTAAAATAAACTCACTTAAAAATAAAACATCTCCTTAAGATCAAGACCCAAAGCAGGCTCATCATCACTTTAAATGTCTTCAGAAGAATCTTCATAATTAATGTCAAAGTCATCCTCAAACTCTTCTTCATCTATAATATTTTTTTCTTCATCTCCTAAATCAGTTAATATTTCATTAGCTCTAAAATGAAACAATAATAACATACAAAATAATTCTCACAGAAATTACATTTCATATAAACATATCCCTTTTTTGCACCTTCGCCTGACACTTCAACTTGAGCTCCATATTTCCATACAGGATCTTTCCTTCTTGTGCCACTTGTCATGCTAATAATTTATAGAAATAAATAATCAACATCAAATAGGACAGATTTTAATAATTATGTGTACTACCAATAATAAGACAACTTGAATACAACAATATACCGGTCTGCCGGGGGTCCAAGGGGGCGCTGCCCCCTGGCGAGGTTCGACCTGTTATTATAAGAGTAATTTTAAAATTATGCTTGTTGTATATGCTCAACACTGAGCGGTACCGAGCCAGTACCGCTCTGTACCGAGCATGTACCGGCTCGGTACCGAGCTTGTATTGAGCGGACGAATGAAAGAAAGCTGAATCAGAAGTTATTCAACCTTTCGTTACTGCACGTCAAAGTCAAGGCTCACAACACCGCTCACCTGCTCTTCCGACCTAACCGAGGCCTGAACATTTCCTGCACTCACAACTTCATCTTCGTTTCCTGCTTTCGAAACCGTTATTGCTTTCGGCTTCGTTTCCTGCGTCGTCTCCTTCCGACTTCGTCTCCTGCACTCACGGCCTCGTCTCCTTCCCTCATAACTTCATCTCTTTCCCTCACGGCTTCACCTCTAGTTTGCCTTTCAATTCTCACAGGAAGCCCTAATCCTATACGCGAACACGAATCGGCTACGTCGTATTTACATATATACCAAAGAAAAAATTTCAAGGCGGTGCCTCGTACTGCCTCGAGGCGTTACGCTCTGATGCGTACGCCTAGTGCGAAAAAATCGTAGGCTTCGCTGAATGGTTCGAGGCGTAATCCCTGATACGCATGACTTCCGCCTCGACTTGAGGCGCGACTCAATGCGGATGCCTCGTCCACTTTTTTAATGGTTGGATAGAATCTTAAGTTTGGACAGAGTTAAGAGTTATTAACAATCTCTAAATACAAATATTCATAAGTAGAACTAAGGAACACAGATGGTAACATCATAAGGAAAAGAAGTGGTAGGAGTAACTAATGGAATTTCACTAGGCTGACATATTATTTGCTCATATTCTACTCTGTTATCAAAATGCCAAATGAAAATTGACAAAAGATACTTGAGATGCGGAAGCATGCATGATACTAGCTTCCGACCAGCTAATAGCAACAACAGGAGGCACGATTGCATAGGTCTAAATAACTTTTACCATAATTTTAGTCTTTTAAGGAAGCCAAAAATAAAAATCCGAACTTCCCAGAAGAGTGGTACAAAAGAAAGGAAATGTATTACAATCACCTTATTTCATTTAATTCAACAGAGTAATTTTCTTTCAATAACAATCTTAAACTGTGTTACTGATTCCTCATTCCTCAGAAGTATCAAATGACGTGAATTGCACATGGATGCAGTATTTTAATCCAACAAAAATATTAGAACAACCGTAGATGATTGTGATTTAATTAGAAGAGCATGTGCAATTTTATGTGGAAATGATTGCATAACTACGTAATGCCATTTAATTGAACAACAAATGAAATTTCTTGAACCTTTGTACAAAATTTTAAGGGACCTAATATATTGTTTAGCACTATCTATGAAGTTATTTATATGATATTCATATATTCGAAACAATTAATAACGTAATATAATTGCAAATGATAAGATAAAGCACTGGATCATACATACTTGAACCAAGACGTAGGTTTGAATGATGCCAGTCCAAAATAGAGTTGATTTTGGCCCTAGACGAAAGATCAGCTGGATACCTTTGCAGAAAAAGGGAAATAAAGCTGAGGATCATAAAAAGTGGCAAGTTCCGAAAAAATTAGCATTGAAGATTTACAAGAAAAAAAAATTAGCATTGAAGATTTACAAGAAAACCAATTCTCATTTCATGAATTATGAGCAAGTAGCATTCGTAATGTGTAACGAAATCAAATAATGGGTCAAAGTTAGCATGCCAAAATGGTTAGCATTTAATGGAAATGTTGTCAAGGATATCATCCTTATGTTTATCAAAGAGTCGGTAATTATTGCAGACAAAAAAGTAATAATCTTCTTCCTTTGTTTCTTCATTTTCAGCCAAAAGGCAAGTAAATAAAACTCCCCTCAATTTTAATTATTCCTAAATTATCATTTTCAGCCTTGCACAATTTTCTAGGAACAACTGAGATAGAGGTAGATGAGTTTGCTGACTAGGAATTGGTGCATTCTTTAATAAACGAAATGTTAGAAGTGAATCCAATTTGCTTTATTTGGTCCATTAGAGTTTTTGCGAACTTATATAAAAGTATTCATGTTTCTTTAAGTAGATTAAGAATATTTTTCACTTAAAAAATAATAATACTTTGCTTTGATCATGCACATTCATATCAAGAAATTTTTTTAATTTTTAAAGTCTTTTATCTCAAATTCTCTTGCCAAAAACCCTTTCAATCTGGTTAATTCAACCTCGAAGTCACCTGCCATTATAATTTACCCTCACTTTTTATCCTTCAGGTAAGTGTTTGATAAGTGAGAGTGATTTGTTCGATATTGCCAACATCTTTGTAAGTACGACCAAAACAGGTACGAGGAGATTATTTAAGGCCACATAGAGCTTTTTTGAGTTGACATACCTTATTAATGCTTCTCTATTTTCTCAATCCGAGTAGGATTTTCATGTATTCTTCCTCCTCGAGGCCCCCATTAAGAAAAGCATTCTTGATATAAAATTAATGTAGACGTCAATCAAAATTACCGAAAGAAAAAGTAAACCTTGAATAATATTGAGTTTGATGCATGTAACAGTCCTTTCTAAGGACTTCATTTCTTTCATTACAATTTTCTTCCACTAAAGAGTTTTGAGAGCTTCATGAATATTATTTGGTATCTGAATTTTATCAAAAAAAGTCAAAAACATAAAATCCAAGTGAAAGCCCTTTATATGTTATGAAAACATAGATTAGGTGCTTGATGCATGAACATGGAGATCAGGATTAATTTCAAAATTTTTTTCTAACTAGTCTATGCTTTATTAATCCATGAAGAATGTTCGGGTTCTTGTATGTGAAGGAGATACGTTGTTGCTCGTTTTCTTTTGTTCTTTTTTTCCCTCTTAGTATTGACGTGAAGCTCATTCATCGTAGGTTAAGAATATTAACAAGGTGATGAGGGAGTTTGTATTTCTAGTGAGACTTCAATAGTGAAATAAGGGGCAATGTGAAATGTTTGTTATCCATGAGTTTTATGAAAGATGATGGTTGATGATCAAATAAGTTTCAAACTTGAAATTCTTGTTCTTGAGTTTCCTCCTAAATTTTAGGTTCAAAGTGATAAGGTTCCTTTTAAGGAAAATTATATCAATGGAAATGTAAATTTTTCTATGATTAAGGAATAACATTTGTACCATTTTTATTTAAGGAGTATTTAATAAAGATACCCTATATAGATTTAGGGTTAAATTTACTCCTATGCTGAGAATGAATGTGAATAAAGATTGAAGACAAAACGATACTTGAAGAAAGAAGAAATCATTTTTGTATTAGGGGTTGTTTAGTTGGAAGTAAAATAGGTGTAAAGATTACTTTTGCCAGGGTTTTAAAAATATTGGTGTTTGTCGGATGAAAAAAGAAAACTGTGTAAAATATTCTAAATATAATGCAAAATATTATAATTTATTTTTTTGAGGTAAAGTAAATTCACTTAATTTTAAGTGAAAATTGTTTTACTGCAACCAAGCTATATTGTCATCACCTCTATTGGCCACCGCTCGCCTGCTACCACTGCCCATTGCCTGCTACCAATGGCCACCACCATCATCAACCACCCTCCGTTGTCAACTGACCACTACAATTTTGGACTTTACACTGCATTCATTTTACTTCAAGTCAAATTAAAAAAAAATCTCATGCATTTCTTTTACATTCATCTAAACAGCTTCAAACATTTCAAATACACTACATTCCTTATACAATGCATTCATTTTACTCTACATTCCTTCTCAACAAATCAAACAACCTCTTAGGAAATAAAAAAAGATGAGTAGCACTACTATTATATATCGGATCCTAAGCCTTGGTTAAGATATGTGGAGGATGCTTTAAGTAGCCGACAGCAAGCATAAAAACTTGTTGAACAATCATGACATGAATCATTTAATGCATAGTGTTTATGTTAGAGTGTTTCCTAAAACAACAAGGTGTATGACTTGAATATAACAAAAAGTGGGCAAAGACCATTGTACTGGCGTCCGAGTGTAATGTTAAATACACAAGAGTTCTCACATCAGGGACGAATATAATAAAAAACAGCAAGTCATGAAACTAGAACTATGATAAGAACTTAGAATATAGGTAATCTTACATGTAAATTAATAGAATTAATAGATATTATTATAAATATTACATATATTTAGGAAACTAAATGGTTTGAAAAAAGAAGGCTAACGAGATTAACAGTTTAAGATTTAAACTTTAATATTCAAGTAGGAATCGTACTAGAAATGGTGTATGTCTGATTACAAATAAGAATTTGAAAGATAACATTATAGAAATTAATAGAATAAAAAATTGAATTATAGTTTAAAAGATTGATGTTGATGCTAAGATTATAAATATTACAAGTGCTTATACTCAGCTCCTCAAGTTAATTTGGATATATGTATTAAAAAAAATTAGAAATGACTTAATAAGAATTAATACAAAGGTTATATCTTAAAACAAAGAATTTTATTGAAGAAGATTTAAGTAGACATGTTGATAAAATGATATAAGATTTTAAAAGCATTCATGATAGTATGGAGAAGAGTGATTAATAAATGTGATAGTACTATATTAAATTTTGCTCTGGCTTTAGATTTCATTATCGTTAATACTTTATTTATGAAAAGATAGGAGCATCTCATTATTTAAAAGAAAGGGCAAAATAAAACTCATATTTATTATCTTTTTATAAAAAAAATAGATCATTTAGATTTAAAAAATTATAAAGTCATTTCAAATGGAAGTTTATGCACCTAATATTACTTTTAGATTTTAAGATGAAGGGGTAGAAAATAAAAAATAAAGTAAAATATTATCCAAGGATTAGATTGAGTATTTAAAGAATACTAATAAAAATATTTTTTGAGAGTAAGAATCAAGAACTTAATATTTGAATTGTTAATGAGAAAATTAATATTTTGTGAAAAAAAATTACTAGTGAAATTTAGAATATTTTAATATATGTGCTTAGAGAATCAAAAAGAAAAACTCTTAATAATAAAAACAGTTGATGGCAGAATCAAAATGTACAAAAAAAAAATCCAAAAATAAGACATTTTTGTTATAAAAATTGCTTTATATGTAAAAACTTAAAATTTTGAGTTCAACATAGAAAGACCTATATAGGTTTATATTATAAGCACTTATGCTCTACACGTAGGTTTGGATATATGGTCAAAATTAAAATTTTAAAATGATCTAGAAGAATAATATAAAAGATATCTCTCGAAGAAAGAGTTTTTATAGGAGTAGATTTAAATATATATGTTAGCAGAGAGATAGATGATTTTAAAAGCATTTATGGTGGCTATGGCTTTGAAACGACTAATGAAGGTGGTAAGACCATATTAAAAAAATTTTTACTTATGATTTTGTGATTGTTAATATCTTATTAAAGAAAAAATATGAGCATCTCATCACTTATAAGAATGTATATAATAAAATTTAGATTAATTATTTTATTTTAAGAAAAATAGATTATTAGATTGCAAAGATTATAAAGTTATTCTGAGAGAAGGTTTATGTATCTAACACTGCTTATTAGTTTTGGACTTTAAGATGAATGGGCAGAAAATAAAAAATAAAGTAAATCGTTGTTCTAGGATTAGATGGTGACATTTAAAGAATTTTAACAAAAATATTTTTGAGAGTAAGATTCTAGATCTTAAGATTTTATCTGTGCATGAGAAAGCTACTGTTATATGGAAAAAAGTAGCAAATGATATTAAGAAAGTTGCAAAAGATGTGCTTGAAATATCAAAGGGAAAAGTTACTAATAGTAAAACTAGTTGATGTTGAATCAAAATATGTAAGAAAATATAAAAAATAAGAAGATTTATTATAAAAATTAATTTAGTTGTAAAAATAATTATAATTGGGAAAGATATAAAGAGGCATGTAAGGAGTCTAAGAAAATAATTTGCAATGCAAAAATTTTAGTTTTTAATAATTTATATGATAGATTAGATAATAAGGAGAGCGAAATATATATGTATATGTTAGTTAAACAAAGAGATAAGAGTAATAAGGATTTAGTTTAAGTGAAGTGTATTAAGGATGTAGATCAAAAATTATTTTATTAGAAGAGGATATTCAACAAAGGTGGATGAGATATTTTGCTAAATTTTTCAATGAAGATTATGATAATATGATTGACTTTAATGACCCTAGCACCTTAAATGATGCGGGCAAAAGATACAGGGAGCCTATACCCTTCGCCCACAAAGGACACGACGGACTTCTATCGACTAAAATGAGAAAAGAACGAGGAAAGGGAAGAACAAACTCTTATATTTCAAATTTTAAAAAACAACCAAATAAAAAAAAAAAAGGCCGGTTTGGAATTCCAAGAGACAAACATTAAACAAGCATAAAAAGCACAAAACTATAGTAATTAAAAGATAATAAATAAACTAAAATGTTAGCTCATAATGAGCTAACCCTTAGTTCAATAAATGAACTAAAGTTCAGCTCATAAATGAACTAAAAGTTTAGCTCAAATGTGAAAAACTACTAGACTCAAG